CTAAACTTGTATGAAAGGGCATAAATTCGGTGACATTTTATTTCTTGTGGACGGAAAAGATTATTCTAGAATATTTTTTTGAATGTAGTAAAAACAAGCAACTTTTTAAAATCATGATGAGATTTTAGTATACTATACGTACATAATTTAATTATCTGATAGAAATAAATGTTTAAAGTGTCATAATTTGATTCATATAGATCATTGTTATAACTTTCATCCATTGCAGACAATATTAAACTGATAATTTAATAATGATTTGGATTGGATGTTAGAACATAATAATTAGAATATTGGAAAATCTTTATGAATTAACCTTGACATGCATATGAACTGACATGAATAGATTCAAATATGTGCTAAAATATTCAAACTTGATAAAACAACCATATAAGCTCTTTGTCAATGTGTTACAAAAAACAGTTCATAGTAGTCTATTTGAATTAAAACTATTGTTTCTATATAATTTTGGTTCAAATTTACCTGAAACTCTTTTCAAAGCAGGATGATTAATTTGAGCTATATTGAATTCCACACTAGTTTAAGATGGTGGTATATCTAACTTATATAACAAAACTTTATAAGTGTAGCATTTCAAAAATACAAGTACCTTTTGATCAACATGATTTTGATTACCACAGTAAAATTAATCACAACCATCCCTTGACCTACACAGTCAAAATTTGGAATAACAATAACAAATTTTGAAAAGAAATCATCAACTTGAAAAAATGAATTGCAAAAGAAAACCTACAGACTTGGAAACATTTTTTCCTTTTTGATGATGATGGATCAGTTATATTTTTCCTATTGATTATTATAATTGATTGATGAGGTTTTGAATAACTCTGCAAAATTGTGAGGTTAATTAACCAAATTAATCAAGAAATACCTATACTTGAATTTATCCTTTGCAAAAGTTTAGTTGCAAAATTTTGTTTTAAAATATAAATAAATCGTATAGATCAGGTTTAGAATACTTGAAATGAGATCAGTTGTTATTGTTTATAACTATTGAATTTTGTTAATTTTTGAATTGAAACAAATTTTGTTTTCAGTTTTTACAGGAGATTATAATTAAAAAAAATCTCATGTCATTGTAAAGCTACATCAGGTAGGACGGTTCAGTAAAATTTGCATATACTGTTTATATTTTATAAAATGAATTATCTGATATTTGTAAATTATATGAATTTGTTTTAAGATATATATATATATATATATATATATACTNACAGTATTATATATTATATAATATAGTATGTTTTTGTAGACTATTCTTGGAGCATGATACAAAATGTATTTTGGCAATCTGATCATGTAGTACAGTATCATCTAAAATCATTTGTTATGAAGATTTGATCTGACCTAAAAATTTTTATTTCAGTTTTAAAATTTAAATTTTTAAGTTGTATAATTATTAATAATAGTTTTATTATTCAGTACTTGTATTTGAGAGTAAAAATTAAAAGATGGACTGAACTCTAAAATTAAAATTCCTGTAAATTGAATTGTTAATAATCTTCCTTAATTAATTATTAATGCCTATATTGGAAACATGTTAAATACTGTAAATGATTATAATGAAGGAATATTTCTGAAAAATAACATAATTAACTATATATGATTTCATTATAAGATGTAATGAAGTCTTTTCTGATTAATGAATTAACTGTTTCAATGTGTGATTTGCCTATAATGTTATTATTTTGTTCTGCTCTTATGTATTTATAAATACAGTAGAGTGTCAATCATTCGAATACCGATTAACTGAAACATCGGTTAACCAAAAGCGTTCCAGTCAGCAAATTCAAATTTACGCTAGGGCTGTGGCATTGCAGCACTCTTCCCCTCCCTGCCAAACTGAACTGTAGGCCTAGTTTAATGTATTACATTATGTAAGGTATGTATTTGTAAGACGTGTGATACAAATTATATACATTTTAATTGAAAGAGGGGGATGCCTCCAAGTTCCACTCATAGGTATGACTTGGAGGTTTGAGGAGAAAAGTTTGTGAAATGGGAGTGAAGGAGATGAAGGATAGGGGTTGAAAAAGGGGCAGTGGAGGAGACAGGTGAGAGTACATTGCGCCTGCATCACAATTATTGAAAGCATAACAATACATAATACAGATAAAGAATTGACCGAAATATATTGCTGTGCATCAGACAGTGGCGAGTACATAAAAATGTATACATAAGAGCTACAACATAAATATAATAATTAACATATGTACAGTGAGAGTTCGCTTACTACAAGCATGCAAAACAAGAGGACAAGAGGATTAACATCAGTAATTAACATGAAAGTGGAGAAAATACAAATTATATATAGTATAGTTTTGTGTTATATATATTTTTTGTAAATGATCAGTTATCCAAACAACCTGTCCTGAATTGTTTCAGATAATCAATGCTCTACTGTATTACAGAAAGTTTAAAAATGGACAAAGCTTAATTTTGTGTGGCTTCTGATTAAAAAAAAAACCTAATTAGAAATTGTTTTTAAACCTTAACAAAACTAATATTTAAAGAATTATTCTGTTTTTATGAAATCATCTTGTATTCCAGCATCAGAACAGAAACTACATACAAAATTCTACAAATATAACATAGTAAATTTTGAATAATAAAGTTATGTATCTAACATATGTTCAAGTATAAGAAATTTTTTATTTTGATATTTTTATACAAAATAATGATATCAGTGTGAATCAGTCACAGAATGCAATTTTAAATATATGAAAACTATTTTACTACTTAGACAACAATAGACTACTATTGAATTATTAAAAACTGTTATAATGAATGTGTATGTGTTCTCTAAGCAACAAAGCCATTACATTTGTTTAAACAATGTTGCCACCTAGCCAACAAATACAATAATAATTATCAAAAATTTAGCACCTTTGTCAGATTTAAATCTGATTTAACTATTAACTGCTCAATCAGTTAAAAAGTACAGACTGTACTAAATATGGATGTATGGCAACCCTACTCTTATATACAAGCTATCATGCCAAAGATATTAAACAAAATAAAAACACACTGAATTTTTTCCTTTTTTTTTCTTTTAGTTCAGGTGGTCTCTGGAGATTTGCACAAAAAATTGAAGGATCAAATTTGACACGCTTCCAATACTTTTGTTATGTATACATAACTGGGAAAGTAATATGGTCACTGTACCCATACTATATCATAAACTCTATTGACTTGACTTCAATATTGAATATAGTAATTAAAAGCAAATTAAGACAAATAAAGAGAAACTTAACTTAATATAACATAGTTTTATTATAAAAGCTGCTTTGTGAATGCAGTGTACAATTTTAATTAAATGGCAGTGAGAGACACATGATGCACAAAGCATATGCTTACAGCAGGGCACACCAAGTTTAAACTTACATTTCTGCTAGTAATTGATTTTTTTTTTTCCCTTGAGTTCCAGTTAACAGTGTATGCTGTACTTATTCATAATATGCATTGAGCACCTGCTTCTTTAAGTATGTAAACTTTTTTAAATTCACTAACTTTGAACATTTAATATACAATTCCAGTAAGTCAGATTTTGTTATAAACTGAAATGCATATAAACGAATGAATAAAAAAATAAATATGTAATATTTTGAAAACTTATTATTTTATTTATTTCTCTCTATATTTATTAATTGCTATAGAAGTATTTGAAATGATAAAAGTAATTTAAAGGAGAAATAACTGTATATTGATTGAATTCATATTTCGTATGAAGTGAAAAATTATAAAACTTCAGTTTGTCTATTTATGATGTAGAAGTTGGAATAATGTTTGAATAAATACTAACAAATTATTTTGCAGTCGTTTTAAAATTTTTTTGATGATAATTAAGCAAGAGTGATATAGTAAATCATCAATATGGATTGATTTATTCTTAAATATATTATTGAACTAACTAAACTCATTTCATAAAATTTTGTAGTTTTGAAATATTTTATAATATGATACACAATTATTTAAAAATAATCCATTTAAAATTCTCAGTTAGCATCCTCCTCAAATTAAATATACTAATTCATTTCCTATTAGAATTTTCTCATAAATATACTTTCCAAATATTTCATTAAAAATTTTATTTGCACACATGCTTGAATGAAATAGTTAAATATTGAAGTTGTATATATAATGTTGATTAAATATTACATATTTATTTTAAAAACTTATGGTCGTTGGTACATATTTTCCCTCATCCCACAGGCTCCAAAGACCGTACTTTTAAACTGTTAATTTTGTAAGCAAATTTTTGGTCGTTAGAAACTTTAATTGGTACAAAAGTATATCGATAGTAAAGTAATTGCAATATAAATTTCAACATAGTAGAAGACATAAGTATATATTAAAAGATTTTCAAATATTTTGTGAAAATTTTTTAAGCATATCATTTAATTAGAAATCAATAGCTCCCCACGAAAAAATCACATTTATTGTGTATAAAAATAGTAGCGTTAGGGGAAAAAAAATGATAGAAAACGCCACATATAACGAAAATAGTTTAATCATAGTAACATGTCATAATATTGGCAAAATTTGGAAGTGTTAGAACATAGTCACTGTTTGTTTTGAAAATTTATTTATACATATCATAGATGTAATTTCTTAAATGAATGCCAATAAACTTAGATTTAATTAACTGTACATTAATTTAAAGACAAATCCAATGCTAGAAAATGTGAACAGTTGAAATTATTAGTGGCGTGTCGTTTCAAAATTTACATAAAATTTAAATCAGTTCTTTTTTAATTATAAACAATTTACAGTCGACCCCCCTATAAGATCATTGATTATTCCGTTTTATATGAATTCCATGTTGTACGAGTCACTTAAATTTTACAAATACTTCAGCCTTTCACAGCCCGGTACATGTATTTGTAAAATCTAAGTGACTCGTACAACATGGAATTCATATAAAACGGAATAATGAATGATCTTATAGGGGGGTCGACTGTATACTGATAATTCTTAATAGTTAATTTACATAAATTCTGTTATAGTTGTTGATTTGGATAGAAATTTGGCATTGTAAAATTGTTTTCCTCGAATAAATTTTAACATAATCTTCAATATAGATCAATAACAAATCACTTTTACGTTATCAAACGGTGAAATTGCCATTGTTTACGAGAAATTTGGCGCATTTTTCCCACAATTAGGCCTAACACGTTCACTTGCTTTACATCAAAGTAAACGAATACGAACCAACGAAATACAGATTATTTTACTTAATAACTCGCGTATCACTCGACTCGCTAGTCATTTACGTTTTAAATAAATCGAAAACGACGAGAAACACGACTAATTCGTGGAGTAGTGGAAAATCGAAAATTCAAATTTGTCAGAAGAGTAATCCCGCACTCGGTGACGTCACGCGTTTAAATTCGAAAAAATTCCGTGGCGTAAAATCGTGATATTTGTCGTACGAAATAATTTCTCATATTTAAATAAGTATACTTATCCGTCTGGAAGATAGTTTAGAAAAAACGGGACAATGGATAATTGGTTAGGCGGTATCTAAAGAAGTAATGAGGCATCGAGATGGGTAAAATTCTGTCCGATGATTTAGGCAAGTTTACTTTTCTCGACAACTTTTCTCTTATAAATTTTATCGAGAGTCGAATTAAAACCGTTTATTTATAGTAAGAACGAGAATAATAATGAAAGGAAACGTTTCTTTCCACTTCCCGCCAAATGTATGGTGATATCGAGTGTCAAAATCCCCACACTTTGTACATTTTCGAGGCGTGTTAAGTGTTTTGGAAAGAATTTAACAAATTCGATTGTTTTTCTTTATAATGATAAATAAATTTTGCTCTTGTTTTAGAGTTAATTGCTGCGAGTTAATTAACCTGAAAAATAAAGTCTCTTCTGTTTTATTTATTTTATAAATTACTAACACAAAAGATTGGTACTTTAATAAAGACTGTGTGCATTATCCAACATAATCGTATTCGGTTAATTATTAGATATATTGTCGTTTGGATCAAAATTTCTGCGTAGAGTGTACGTTGATCTGAAATAGGCTTACATAAGAATAAAATATATAGTTATAATTAATTTAATATATTAAGTGTGCCTACACTTAATATACTTAAACCATTATTTCAAATCATATCAGTAGGTCTACGATGGTTACCGAATAGAAATAATTTTCTGCGTTTGTTGCCGTACACGTGTCAACAGTAATATTTATTTAGAAAGAGTGCCATTACTCTTAAGCATTTATAAATATTACAGAAAGTTTGTTTAAAAATCATCAGAGTTTAATTTTGTATGGCTTCTGATGAAAACCTAATATAGAAATTGTTTTTATGAAATCATCTTGTATTCTAACATCAGAAATCACATACTATGTTATATTTGTAGAATTTTGTAAATTTTGAATAATAGGTTATGTAACGTATGTTCAGTACAACAAATTTTTTTTATTCTCGTTTTATTTACTTGCTCCAGACTTTGCTATGCATTTTATAGAATGATTTAATAAACTCTTTATTATAATGTAAAACAAGTTTGATAACATTTGACTTTTTTATACAAATTTTGCTTCATTATCTTCCAATATAGTTGTATCAGATGACAGAAGTGATTTTAAAATCAGTTTTATTCACAGTGGATGAAAGTCAGTTTCCATTTTTGCAGTTTGTTCATTTAGCAAATAATTCTAATTCAGAGAATCTTTATGGAATTTATTTATCTAAGACTATTGACTTTAAAGATCATTACATTAAATCTTCAAAAAAAATAATTCTTTTTATTTTAAAATGTTTGATTTTACAGAATCTCACAAGAAAAGAATTAAATAGATAGGAAAAAACTACTACTACTAGGCTATATGTAATTTAAATATGCTTGCAAAACTTAAAACTGATTTCACCAAATACTTTGTTTTGGATCAAATCATATTAGAGATTTGGCTGAGATGATATATTTTGTAACAACAACTTTTTATATGAAATATGAAACTGTTAATTCACTAACAACTAAGTTTTTATTGAAAATAATTGAATTCCAGTTGCAATAAATTTTCTTAATTTTAAATAAAAGGAAGTAAACATATACTGAGCATGGCATTAACAGTTTCTTTATTTTCGCCAGAGCGTTAGATGATTACATTCATTGTCCTTGGGCAAATGAAAATTTTAGTGTCATTGACTGTTATTTCTAACAACAAATGCATTAAGCTCCTCAAATGTAAATTCAAACTACTGTTTTTCTGAACAAAAACTTTGGGCTTGATGCCTATTAATAGCTGCCTTTCAGCTTTGTATTTTAATTCTTATTTTCTGTCTTCTTTTTCAGTCTAAATTTGGTTAGTCCTAGTTGTAAGTTAGATTAGGGTCTCTTAGCTTGGTTTCCGGTTAGGTTAAATTAGATTAGGATTTGTTAGCTTTAGTTGTCTGGTTAGGTTCATCCTAGGCTATGCTAGGTTAGTTTAGTTAGTGAGTAAGTTAACTTTAAATAAATAAATACATAAAAAAATTTAAATTAAATTAAAATTTTTTGGGGTCTTGCTCGTTTGTCATTGTGTTTGTTTGCTTTTCACGCTGTCTGTCTAGCTGTTTAGTAGTATTAAGATTTGTGATTACATTCAGTTTTATTAGTATTAAGTAGATATGTCTTCCTACTAACAGCCACTTGGCATTAGGAAACAGGCACTAACTTTTACACTTAGATATTTGTGGTAGCACTCACTTATTGGTGTTTGCTACACTCATTTTCTTTTAGACCCTTCAGGAGACTATGGCCTTGCATCCTAAAAACTGCATGCCAACATCATACATACATAGAGGGTACTGTAGCCATGTGTATGTCGTTTCAGAGGGATCCTACCTTTCTCTACTGTCTATCTCCTCTCCCTCTTTCTTTCCTTTATCCTTTCTTTTTTTTTTACCAGCTAAACACTGTGTATAGCCAATGTCTTTCTCATATGTATTAATACAAATCAAGAAAATAAGTTTATTCTTTTCAATTCCTGATGACTGACCTTAGTGTTTGAGCTTTCTAAAGTTTTCATTTTGTTTGGAATTCATTGTTTCAAATTTCCAGTTTTACTAAATGTGCCATTTTTTTAAAGAAAATTTACACCTTTTCGGCAGTAACTGATAAATAAACAAATGTTTTCAGCCACATTCAAGGGTCTGTCAGGTTAAGCTGATACAAAATCGAACTCACTGTAAGCATTTGATTTTGTATCGGCATAACCTGACAGACCCCTAAATATGGCTGAAAACATTTTATTAATTAATTTAAATAAACAAACAAAAGTTTGTATTCACAAATGTATTATTTTAAATTAATAATTAATATGTTGATTTTTTAAAAGATAATTTATCAATAAGATACATTAATGAAAATATTTTTTTCAGGTGTATATAAATATATTCAGAACCTTATAATGAACTAAATGATTTGAAAAATGACCTAGATGATGAGAAATGGAAGTAATGGATTCTGCCGAACCTCAACCGTTAAAGGCTTTAGAAGCAGTGCACATTCACAACCATTTACTAGAAAGATTTAATAAGTTGAAGAAATGGCAGGAAGAGCAGCAGGAACGTTTACGTTCCATACAAAAACTTCAATGGCAGAAACTACATGAACAACAAGAACATATTGGTGCTGTATGGAAGAAAAAACAGATGAATGATGGTAGTGCCAATGTAAATACTATAAACACCATAAATGCTCAGAATAATCCTATGCCAATATCTGTAACTAGAGTTGAAAATGCTTATAAATCAAAAGAAAGTCAATTTGTACAGAAGGAAGCAGAATCGGTCGTATGTATTGATGACGACGATAGACCCATTCGATCGGAATATTCAGACGAAACATCTTTTGAAGAATTACTTGAAAAACAGCTATCAAAAGATAGGGATATTCCCACTGGAAAAAAGTCTAAACCGATAAAAAGGCCATTCCTAAAAAAGGGAAGTGGTTTGAAGAAATATAATATTAAGATGCCTCCAAAATTAGTAAAGAAACCACCAAAGCAATTAATTAGTAAATTAAAACTGAAGAAAGAAGTTAAGAAAAATGATTTTCCGTCGATAGTGATCGAAAAACACAACACTGTAACTTCACACGGAGACCAAAGCGATTCAAATACTGCATTGGATCATCAAGAATATTTCCCACTTAAACAAATGGATTTAAAAGAAATCACACAGCAGGATTCTTTTATCAGAGATTGTGAGAAATTAAAGAAAGAACATCAAAAAGAATCTGTTGAATTGGCAGAATTTGAAATGCTAGAAGAGGCTGCTCACAACATCTCATTTACGAGCGAGTCATCATTGTTGGCTTACGTGGCAAAACGGTATCAGTCACCAAAAGACAGAACAAAATCTCAAGATAATAAAGAAAGTGGAATTGAAAATCTAGAAGAAAATCTTGTTTTGCAAACAGCACAGCTTGAAAAATTGCTTAATTCTGTTAAAAATAGGCATCAGTTTTTACAACAAAATGTAGAAGATTTAAAACAAATTGATGATGACAACACTAATGCTTTAAGTGTAATAAATGAAGAAAATGATATTGAAAGCAGCTCTCAGACAGACTGTTCTCTAAATGTACTGCAGAATGAGAATAATGAAGACAGATTATCGGCCGAATCTGACAATGAAGATAAATCATTTAATGATGAAAATAGTTGGAAAGGAAGCGTGCATTTTGAAGATTCTGAGAATATATTCAATTCTACGCTTTGTGCCGATAATTCTGTTGATGATGACTGTCCAAATTCTACAGTTTTTAAGGAAGAAAATGACACATCAAGTAATAAGTTGATTGATTGCAAAATAAATGATGAGCAAATAGCAGAAAATAATAAAACAAAAACAACACAATATTCTACAGACATTACTAATGAAGTTTTGTTGGCTGAAAGGTATCATCTTCAAAAGAAAAGTAAAGAATTGGAAGAAGAAATAGAAGTATTTAAAAAAGAAAATGCACTCTTAATTTCACTAAGCAAGCAGCGTGAAGAAATGGTAAAACAATTACAAAACGAAAAAAAAGATTTTGAACAGTTTAAAAAAGAAATGGAGAAAAAAATGCAAGGTGAACTTGACGAAGGAAGGAAACAATTAAGAAGAGAGAGGCAGAATTTTGAAAGATATCAAAAATTGAAAAAGGATCATCCAGATAAGAAAGAGAGAGAGATCATCTCAACACTTCGGCAGCAAATAGAAACATTGCAAAATGATATTAAAAAGCAAGAAAATAAGTGGTCGTTAGAATGTCGTCGACTGCAAAATAAATTGGCTGTTACCGAAAAAGAGAGAGATAGCTTAAAAATTTCACTCAAACAACTGGAATCCCAAAGAGTAGAGTTGCTGACTCTGTTAAAAGAAAATCAAAAGAAAAAGCAGCAGGTAAAGAAGGAGATTATTAATACTAATCAGTCGCAACCAATACATAGAACTGAAGTGATTAATCATGTGAAAAAGCCGGCTAAGAAGCAGATCGAGGAAAATAAGGCCATCGACGAAAAAGAAAATAATTACAGTGGAGCCAAGGCCGACAGAATAGAAAAGGAAACAATTGTCTCTAAGATCTCTTCAGATAGTGAAGAAAATTTGAATTCCAAATCGAAACAAAATTTATCAAAGAAAAATCTCAAAGTGCGATTTAATACCGATCCGTTAGTAGATAAACATAATTATGAGGCAATTTCTCATTCATTAGATACATTTACGGAGAAGGAAAATTTTATGAAAATCTCTCATCCAGATAAAATAGAAAATGTGTACAGTAATGGAGATAGAGAATACTTATATCCAAGTGGAACAAAGAAACGTATCAGTGCAGATAATTTGACAACAACCATAAACTTTTATAATGGCGACTGGAAACAGATTTTGTCGGATGGGAGAATTATATATTATTATGCCGAAACAGGCACCGCACAGACAATCTACCAGGACGGACTACAAATTATAGAATTTGCAAATGGACAGGTTGAAACTCACCACGTAAATGGGGTTAAAACTGTGGCCTTCGGAGATTCTCAATTTACTTTATATCCTGATGGTTCTGAAGAGAGCATCATGTCCGACGGAACCGTCGTCAGAATCGATCCAAACGGAATAGAAACTGTTCGTTTCTCAAATGGTGAAATTGAAGTAAGAACAAACGAATTTAAGAAACGAGAGTATCTGGACGGAACTATTAAAATACTGTATGCCGACGGGAGACAAGAAACTAGATACGCTAACGGTCGGATGAGAGTTAAAGGGAAAGACGGTGATGTTATATTAGATATAGAATTACCACGTTTATAACTTTAATCTTGGAATTATATTAAAAAATAAATTTATGATTTGAATGCTTCAAAATCTGAGAGAAATTTTTACAATTACCTTTCTTTGTTGTAAAGTTCTTGAATTTTGTAAATAAAAGAATTTATTTATGTAATTTTTATTGTGTAATTTTGTTCCACAACATACATTTTTACTCTGTTTTCATTGAAGATGATTCTTTACAATGGTTTAAGCTTTTCTAAAACAATTAAAACCATCAAAACGATGTAAAACCATTATTTTTGATAATTACATCTTATAACTGAATAAAAACAAATTAAAATACTTCAAACATTTATTATTATTAAAAATGTGCTACCGATAAAAAAAGAACTTACGCAATAGGTGGGACCGAGCGATAACCACGTAAGTCGAATTAGCGTAAGTCGGGGTATAATTTTGCAATTTGTATAAAATCCAAGTCGGATGTATGTAAGCTAATAAATGTTCTCGTTAATCTTATCTTTTGATTTGTTCACGGTTACAAGAAATCACCACATGAGTCTCTCAAGTCTCCGTAGATATAACAAACACAGAAATAACACAAAATAAATTGTAGCTATGTGTTAATTCTGCGTGACATGTCCGAACATGTAAGCTGAACAATAGTGTGGGGGGAGTGAGTAATCAAGAGCTGTGTGGCGCTCAAACAAAAGACGAATCAACGAGATTTGAAAATCATGTAACTCCGGTTCACGTAAGTCGAGGTATTACTGTATAAAAATCTTGACAGAATTTTCTTATCTAAGGTGCATCTTGAAAGTTGTAGTCTGAAAATGCAAAAAGATTTATTCTTGATCCTCAATTGTGAATGAACAGAGTCTGAAATTAACCAAATATAATTCATTTAGCCAGAAAGCATTCACATATTTAACTTGTGACAGAATCTTAATCATTAGTTGAGAATATGAACATATATTCAAAAATGACTGTTTTATATTGTGCAGTTTAATATTTCTTTCTGTGATGGATTCTAGTTGAGCATAACCATATCTTAGACCTCCTCCATAACTATGTTTTCGGACAAATAGCTTACAACGGTTGTAAGACAAACCTCCTTTCGGGTCTAAACTGGTTTAAGTTTAAATATTTTGTTCAAATTAGTGTAGAGAGTAATTTACAGATCAATTTAAAGAAAAAAAGGTTGCATTAGATATGTGGATAATATAATGGACTGTCTTTTGACAAAATAGTAATTACACAAAACAAATTATTTAATATCAAGGATGATGTCAGGAAATGCTTCTTTCTTTTGTAACACGATCCTAACATTTTAAATATATATCAATACAAATACAAAAGGTTTTACATCGATCATATATGTTTTTTTATTAGAAATATTATATATATATATGAAGTACTTTTATCAATTTTAAAATATTTAGGAGTTTTTAAAAGGAAGCAACTTCTTTAGTACACAATTTGTATAACTAAACATATATCTTTTAAATTATAAAGAAAGTTCTCTATAGATTAATCAGTAACAAAAGTTAGATAGGAAAAAAACAATTCTTAATGAAAACTTGTATTTCCTTTTTTTAGAGCATCAGACTGGAAACTTGATGCTCCCGACTGGACCGGAAGATTGAGAGTCGTAGCAAAAGATAATGACTGTATATTAAAATTGGAAGACAAAAACACTGGTAAATGGTACTTGTAAATGCTTGACAAATATATTTAAATCTAGTAGTAGTAATTTGGTATAATTTTAGGAGAATTGTTTGCATCATGTCCAGTGGACAAATATCCCGGAGTCGCCATTGAAGCCGTACTCGATTCTAGTCGATACTTCGTACTCAGAATACAGGATGGAAATGGTAAATCTTTTAATTAAAATCAGAATTATCACTGTCAAGATAATCAATCAAGTTTCAAGTTTTTAATTTTTAAATTATTTTAAAGCTTTCCAATATTTAATTTCATTTAATTTTTTAAATATGAAGTAATAACAATGGCTGATCGTGGAAAAATTGGTAATCAGTAAATACTATCATGCTACTAATTGATCTCAAATTTCTCCATTTTAATTAAGATAGTTATCTCCTTGGTGTTTCATTCCTTAAGTGTGTTGACAATACATTTTAATAATGCTTTAGGAATGGCCCTACTCCAAAACCTGATAAGTGTAAGTAACTAAATGTAGAAGTTAATCCCGTGTGTGTAAATGCATCGCAGTGATGTATATGGTGAGGGTGGAGGCACTCCCACCCGTCTCAAAAATTATGGCTAATTAAAAGTTTATTCTAAGTTTGATTTGTCAGTTTGAAAAAAAATACATAACATCTATTGTTAATGAGAGTAACTGTAGATCAATTGGTATCAATTTTTAACAATATTAATGTATGTTAAAAATGCATGTCCATAAATCATTATATCATAATGCAATGAAAGATCACTTCCACATTTTTGTTCATCCATAGAATTTAAGTCATACTCAGCCTGAAAAAATTATTTTCTTTGTCATCCTTGTGTCCTGAAGCTTCAATTACAGTTGATTTTTTTTTAAGTTTTTGCGATGTTGTACGTGAAACAGAATCTTATGTTTGTTAAAGATCTGTTCACAAATACTTCTATATATTTCAGGGCACAGTTGATATGGTGAGTTTCAAAACATTGATATTTAATGAATAGTTAGCAGGTTTGTATTTTGACATCAGCTAATTGTCCATGAATTAGTAAAAACTAATAAACCAGACTAAATGCTTACACTCCAAATGCTTTAAACAATTGTATATGATTAGATGATGATTCCAGCTTTGTACAGAACAAAATATATGTAAAATACTTTACATACACATTTACATTGACAACTTTGATTATTTAACTCCTCTCATGAGTGAAAACATTAGGTGAAAGTGCAACCACTGAGTAAATATTTTCTTATATAACTTGAGTGACAAAATAGAAGAAAGATTTTGCAAGTTTATTCAACTTGCAAAATCTTTCTATTTTGTCTTGTAACTTGTCAAAATTCTATGTCCATTTTAACATAATAATGTCAGGAGACAAGTAAAAATATGTATATAAAATATTGAGAGAGATTTAAATGTACCTAACAAATTACTTTGTTTTAGAATACTTAAGGAATTGATTTTTGGTTTAAAGAGATGTTCAACAGTGCCAGGATGCTTGTGTACTAAATTATACTGTAATATAATTTTGTTACTGTTATCTAATTTAATCTTATGTACTACATTGGTTAATATATGTCCACTATAAATTAATATTGGGAGAAATTCTTGATGTTTGCTGTGGAAAAGCAATATAAGATTATTAATTCATAAGAATATCAAAATTTATTAATTGCAATTACTGTATTTACTCTAATATAAGACGATCTCGCGTATAGGACGAGGTGTGACTTTAAAGATCAAAATTAAAGAAAATTAGATTTATTAATATAATTCTAATTTTATTTCGTTTAATAACAAATAAAATATCAAATGAACGTAAATGTACACATTTTCCCGCAAATATTATTGGCATTTTAAACTTCAAGGAAAAATCTTGTAAAATCAACATAATTTGTTCACATAAAGCTGGACAATCAGCAATTTTTTTTTTGCCAATTCTTAAGTGTAATCGACAAAGAGTGAATTCAACTGTTATGAGTTTCTTCGAATTTCCAAATAATCTGTTTTCGTGTGGGAATGAATTAAAACTTATATCTGACTCCCATGTAATTTTGGAATTCAATTTAAAAGCTTTTCCTATGGCTATTCATCTTTACTCTTGGCAATACACAAGAACGATTCAAATGACCCAGATAAAATACTTTTGTTTTTAAACACCAGAAGATGAGAATCCAGTAAAAAATGTGAATACAGTTTACAAAAATTATACAAAAACAAAAAGACTCCTTTGCTCATGCGTATAGGACGACTTAAGTTTTTGAAGCAGTGAAAAATGGATAAAAACCTCATCTTATATGCAAGTAAATACAGTATTTATGTATTTATTAACTTATTCTATTTGGATTGTTTTGGTTGCAGTAATAGCTATATAAACTATAACAATTTTCAGATTTAATGGAAGTTTAATATTGTCTATACTATAACTCTTAAACTATTGATGATGATAATTCTTAATTCTGATTCTAGTTTTGTTTAAACCTTTATTTCAGGACGATCAGCATTTATTGGAATTGGGTTTGCAGATAGGAGTGATTCTTTTGATTTAAATGTTGCATTACAAGATCATTTCAAGTAAGATGTTTAAATGTTTTTACATAAAGAATTTCTTTTGAAAATGCTAAGAAAATTCTTTTAACAGATGGCTTCAAAAAAACGAAGAGCTTGAAAATCCAGTTACCGATACCACTCCTCCTTTAGATCTTAGTTTTAAGGAAGGAGAAACCATAACTATAAACATGAATATTACAGTAAGTTGCTAAAGATTTATTAGAATGAAATTTTAAATAAAAAATGAATCAAACATATATGGAGGATCTGGGTTCAAGCTCTGATCTGTATTAATGCTATCATAGATTTACTGAAAAAGATTATGTATAAAAACTAACTGCAAAATTTCCGTTCTTTTTTGATAGAAAAAGGGAGGCTCGGCTAGGCAGAGACAAAAACCAGCAAATTCAAGCGGTTTGGGACTGTTGCCCCCTCCACCCGGTGGAATTAGGATACCACCACCTTCTGGTGCAAAATCGCCTAGTAGTCCCAAACTTATAAGTCCCATTAACCCAGCAACGCCAATTACTACTAAAGATTCGGAAAATTCTTCGGGTTCGAGTCTACTTTTGGACTTAGATGCGCCGACGTCAGTTTCTAAACCCAATGTTGCACATCCACCTACAAGTGCAGGAAGTGATTTATGGGGAGATTTTGCAACAGCTAAAGGGTATAATTCAAATTATCTTTAGAATAGTTTTAAATGATTAATGATGTAATAAGGATTTTCTCTTCATACAGGAATGAAAACTGTGAGAATTCAAATTCCAAGTTAAATGATTGGGTGCAATTTTAATGAATTCTTTGACATTCCACCTTGGCTAACTATTCTTCTTGTATAATAGTCAACATTAATCCAATAGGATATAAAAACAAATTATTAGTACAGAAATCAATGTACAACTTCATGCAGATATATTATTGTTTTTGTTATTGACTTGTTCAGTAAAAGTTAACAACTATTTGAATGATCAAAATTGTCAACAATGTTAGGATTAATATAGTAGAAATGTAAAATTGATGATAATTACATTAATTGTAAATTTAAAAAATATGCAAGTTGAAAAAATTGTGTATATATAAATGTGTATGTGATTCTTAAAATTAACATCAAATGTATGCAACTAATTACGCATACCTTCAGAAATTCATTAAATTTTGTACAATTTTTTTTAATTATATAACATAGTAAGCTAAGCTGTTTCATTTGAGAATTTATTACTGATTATAGAGAATTTTCATTATTTATTGATTTATAACAAAAAACTGAGTTGAGGTATTTTCATTAAAAATTAAAACATTGTTTTAAGGCATTAAATATCCGAAGAGGAAAAAATTTTGGAAATTGTATGGGACTAGCTGAAATAAAATTTGTCACAACTGTTTATGCATATTCATTTATTGCTAATTTCTATTATACTTCTTGTACAAAAGTAATAGTTTCAACACAACTAAGCTTTTAGCAAATTATGATTTTCATTTAAAAGATTTCTAAAACAAGTCAGACTAGATGTAAGCAGGATTGCTTTTCTTCTAAATATACAAAAACAGAAAATAGAATTTTCATTTGAAAATTTGTAAAAACATTTTTGCATTTTGAACACATTCGTTTTGCTTGATTCTTGCAATTTAAGGCAAATAAGTGTTTTTTTGTAAAAATGAGCATTTAAACATTAATATTTTTGCTTCTTGATTATTTAGTTTATTATTGCTAAGATTTACTGTGTTTGAATTTTTACAATATGTATAATGTTATTTACATAAAAACGTTTGCAAATTTTTTAAAAACTTGTAAATGAACAAGTTAAGAGTGATATTTCCTACATCTTAAATTACGTGGATTCATGCCAAGTTTTATTGAACGCATGGCCATGGCACGATTAAAATGCCGCTTTGTTTTTAACCCGTCAGCAAATTCCTCGTTGTGTGCTTCGACGGTGGACAGAATGCCTAAAAATACAGTTAGTACTAAAATTACTATAATGAAAAATGTATAAATGTGAACAGTTGTGTCAGGCAGTGATTCGATTTCCTTTAAATAAATTGATGCTTGCTATAAAAAAAAATTGGTTTTGCATTAATTTATATAATTTCTTCATATATTACTTAAAAGAAGGGTTCTTACCTTAAAGGATGGATTAAGCTCTAAAGTTTGTTTAAACTGTAAACTAGCTTCATGATAATGACCATAAGCTTTTAAAATTTCACCTAGTTTGAAATGATGTAACCAGGCACTTTGTTGTGGTGGATTAACTTCCACAGATCTTCTTGCTAGAAATATTGCATCTTCTAGATATTGTAAATTAAATAATATCCTTGCCAAGTTTAAGAGAGCATCTGGATCATTGGGGGAGATACTCAATGTTTTACGAAAACAGTCTATAGCCTTTAATGTGTCTCCTTTTATTCTCCAAAAATTTCCAATTTGATTGTAAGTATCTGTAGAATTTGGCTTCTGAAAAATTTTTAAACACACAATTATTAAGAATTATTTTGTTAACATGCTATGAACATTATAAAATTCTGTCTCATGGTAATTAGAATTCTTAAAAAATATAAATTGAATATCAGCTATTCAAACAGGTTATAAAGACCAGACAAATTATAATAATTAACCAAATAAATCTGGTATTCTATCCACAAGTTTCCAGAACATGTTTTTGAATTTTGCCACACAAGAGAGTATGTCTTGGCAGCCATTAAGATATTGCAGACCTACATGACTAGCAGTTTTAGTTTTGCATTGGTGACAAGCCCTATAAAAACAGTTCAGGTTGCAGTGGTTGGCTGCCATAATTGTCACAATATCTGTGTATTCTTTTTACAGAAAGTAGTTAGAATCTGTATGAGATGTACACAAAAATATGAGATATCAAGATTGTTCATGTATTCAACTGTTCCAGTTAAATTTTCATCATATGGAAATGAATGTAAGAAGAATGGGTGCACTTACATACAGCTAGATAAATAACTACCATCATAAGACACAACTCTATACAAAATGATTACTTGCAGACAGGTTTTGTGATGGGTCTATATTTATCTTAAATTGCCATCAAATATTTGATCTTATTAATTAATTAAAATTTCACCTACTTTACCAGCTGAAAAATAATTATAACTGTCTTGACTCTTATAATTAAGCATTTCTTGGTAATAATAGATTTTACTTTTAATGAGATATTTCAAAGGTGGCATTCTCTCATCATTATTCCTTAATTTTAAATATTCTAATTTATTTTTATCAATTAGTACTAAGAGTTTGTAGAAGAAACTATGCAAAAATCCGAAAACTTGGAATTAAGTCGAATGCAATTATATTCATTGAATATTTTGTACTTTATGAATTAAATGGCAATATAAATATTTCCTGATAGATAACAACAGTGGAATATTAGTAAAATCACAGAAGCAAATTTTGCCAATTATTTTCTAGAAACATTAAAAAAGGATTTGGGTTCTCTTAATTTTATGTTTTAAAACTCAAAAAAAATTTCCCCACAATGCCTCTAGTACAGTGGTACCTCAGGATACGAACGCCCCAGCATACGAAATTTTCAGGATACGACATGAAATTCGAACATATTTTTGCTCCACGATACGAACAAAAACTCACCATACGACGTTACATTAGTTCGCATCACCAGTTTTTATTCACTTCTGTTCATCGGTCTCAGTCCCGCGTTTGATTCGTCGTGGAAGGATTTCGCTCGATAAAGGAAATCTTGAGGTATTATCAGAAAGTGATCGATTTTATTGAAAAAAAACATCCCGAAAAGGTTCACACTGGCTGTATTGCCGCTCGGAGTAACGACATTTGCCTAAGTTATTTTAGAATCATTTTAAAAAGCAGGCAAAGCCAAAACCTCTTTGGATAGATATTTTACTGAGCGACCTCTAGCCAGTGAAAGTTCTGATGGAAGTGAAGGAAAAAAAGCAAAAAGCAGCGAATGAAAATTAAAACAAAAAAATATAAACAACACTAATTTTTTTTATCTTTTCTAAGTTATTTTTAAGTTATTGTTACATTATGTTATGTAAAGTTAAGTTTTAGTATCATATCCCTTCTCCCTCTCCTCCACTACCAGTTTACACCTCCACCGTCGTCTATCCTCAAAGGTAAAGTGCAAATAAAACTACATTTTTTTCGTCAATTATTATTCTATTATGGTTATTTATACATTTACAACTACAAAACGCATTTTCAGTGTTTTCCTTACTATAGTTATCTTTTTTTAATGTACTACTTAGCTTTAATTTGAGTGTGTTTTTCGTGTTGGAACGAATTATTTGGTTTTACATGTAATCGTATGGGGAAAAATGATTCACCTTACGACATTTTCATGATACGACCTCAGTTTCGGAACGGATTAATTTCGTATCCTGAGGTACCACTGTACTCTTTTTCTTTACATTAGAAAAACTTTAAACTTGCATAAAAACAATTGAAAATATGCTCTTTGTAATTAGAGTTTTTATATTTTAATTATAACTAGATAAATATCATCTCGAGTTTCTTGATGTGATCTATCAATGTAGCTAGCCTGGGCGAGCAGTTTGAGCACTAATATGTCACAAATAAAAGATTATATATATTTTTCTTTTCTCAACAATAAATCAGATAATGAAAAGTACAGATAAAAAAAAAATTTCTTTATTACAAAGTAAAATAAGAAATAAATGCAAACTGATTTTATTTTATTACTCTTAGTGAGGAGCCTTGGATAAATTGGAATTGCTTGTTAAAAGCAGCGGCATTTGAGGTTTCGTCCAGTCTCGAGTGAGGGAACTGATCCGAAACAATGTTGGTGAGTTGCTTGACACGACTAAACACATTTGAAATAGTTACATAAAAGTTGAAAATTTCTGATGGGATGAAAGGAAGGAGTTGAATGTAACTGCTGACATATTGAGGGAAATGACATTTCCTTTAAATCAATACAGGCCTGAGCATGCAGTTACAGCAGAGCTAGGTAACCTAGTGCCATCTAGTGGGGATGAGGGACGTAAATCTGGTTACTTTTACTTTGAACTATGATAACTTTCCATACTTCAACTGAAATTTACCAAACTCTGCAAAAATATGAAGCAACTGTCTGGCTTTATATTACAAAAAAACAGCACCCAAAAATGTCAAAATACTTTCTTGTTATTAAGCGTCAGGGGCGAAAGCAACACTTTCGTTTTTGAATATATCTTTTCTCGGAGTTAATTATATTTTCTAAAAAATAATTTATGCACATGCTAGGGTTCTACTGAGCATTTTGACACCAAAATCTTCAAAATCTAACATGGGAATTTTTTTAAATCAGAAAGGAAAGTACAAGTTTCCCCAGAAGCCTGGGCTTAGAAATTAGCGAGGTTAAGGCCTAAGTTTTAAACGTGAAAACGTGTACATTGGACGTTTGGCGCCACTTTCCTGTAAACCTAGAAGTTTGACAATTTGGGAAAATACATGAACCTTCTCTGGAAACTTGTGGATATTAGTTGAATTAAATAACTAAAATTAAGTTCTTTTAAGGGAACAATAATATGTCGCCTATACTGCTTGAGAAAAGAAAACACAACTGTATAACACTTGGAATATTTCTAAATTTTTGTATCAAGATAAGACTAATGAATTTAATAAAAATTCAGTAAGAATTTATATAAAAATATTTGCTTTACATATTATTGTAAAAAGTTTTCATATCACTAATAGATCAGTGATAGTTATCATTCTTAAAAAGCTACAGTGGAGTTATTGTCTATTAAATTACAATGTTAATGATAACACCATAGGATGTAGTAAAAAAAACTTGCATAACATCACAAAAACAAAATAATGAGAAGGAATAAATTGCATGATTAAAATTTTTGAAAATAATGATGACATGCAAGTTTTCTCAATGCACCACTAAACCTTCAAAAGTTGCATGCAACTTGCAAGCTGTGTTTTACGAAGACCTTTAACAACACAATAAACTAATTATTAGGAATTCACTTTCTTATCTGTTTTATTTATATGGACTATTTGATATGTTTCTTTTGTAATGATTGTACTTTATACTTTTTATTTAAATTTGCTATTTCATTACTGAAGAAGGCAGGCAAACTGGATTACTAAAAATAGAATACTGGCTAGAAAAAATGTTCTAGATGCTAAAAGCAACAGTTTCTGAAATCTTGGATAAAAATTTACATTAATCAAACAAGTAGAAATTTTCATTTCATGTTCTTTGAATCAAAGTATGGGTGATCTGTTTTAATTTCCTTATACCATTTTTGAAGTCTCATTATACCTATAGCTATTTTTTCAAAAATCAGAATATCTATTAAATTTGTAATGCCTAATACAGTAAAATTAGCTTTTATTAAAGAAATAATTATGAAAAATGTTCTTTTTGGTTAGGTAAAATAAAATGCATACTTTCCAAGTGAAAAAGTTAGTTTTTATAATTAAATTATATTAAATTAAGCATCAATGATTAATAACTACCCTGATGTTTGAAAAAATATTGTTCTAACCAAACATAACTTCAGCATTTAATATTTTCTACATTATGATTTATCTGTTTTTTTTCCCTCCTAATTTGTGGATTTCTAATGTATATTGTGCCTAATTGACAACATAAAACATGGTATATACCATATGTGAATTGCCAAGCAGAATGAAGAGCATATGACACAATGCTGTATCAAGTCGACTCTGTTCCTGATTCTAATGCACATTCCAATTTTTGAGACCAGAAAAATCCAAAAAAGGTGCATATTAGAATTGAGAGAACACAGTATTATATTATTATGGTATTCTTAGAGTGTATCTAAACACAGTACTAGTCTGGCATAGTACTAGGCATCAGTATAACTAGTCAAAGCATAACTACAAAACACAAATGTTTATGTATTTATGTTTAAGAATTTCCTGACTGACATGTAACTATGGCAGCCTTCTGTAGTGTGATATATATGCTATTGTGAGGCTCTCATATTTCAAGACTTATGTAGTGTACAATATGTGATGTGATGCCTGTGCAAGAAAAGAGTAATGAAACAAGTACTTCATCCATTCTCCACAAAAACTTTAAAAAATACTCAGAACGTACATTGAAAAATTATTTCATTGACATGTGTTGTGCATGTTTAGTACAGCTATATCTATGATGAATGTGATTTGTTTTCTTTATCAATGAATATGATGTCTGGTCTGTTATGATAGATTGTTTTCTCTGTGATTAAGGCTCAGTCATAGTCATAAAAAACAAAACACAAAATATACTATCTGAGAAGTGCATTTGTAGTATGATTCCCGAGAGTGAGAAGTTTGCATTTGTGTTAGCTATTGATTATTATATTTGCTATTGGGTTATGCCAATTTAAATAGTCAATTTGTGTTAAAAGCTTGTAACCCAATGTGATATAGTACATGACATGGCATTTCTACAAATGTTGTCTGTAAGTGTTGTGTCTTAACATGTGCCTTCTGCAGATTCTTATGTTTATGACCTGGTCTTGTATGGCAATTATGAGAGTGTATATAATTTCTAATATCCATGCTAAATCATCTATGAGGGGGGACCCAAAAAAAAAAAAACCAAACTGAGAGCGCGCTGCCATTCATAGACGTAGTAGAGAGTTCTCCTGTTACATGGCATTAGTAGAGACCTTCACATAACAGCTGTCCAAACGGCATCAGTTTGTAGGTAAACATTTGAGTGTAGTGTTGTGTATCTCTTACTGTTATTTTGTTCCATCTGCGAAGTTCTGGGCATCCTTCAACATCATGAAACGATGAAAACATTGAAAAAATCCGCCAAAAAAAGTGTTAAGATGTCTGCGAGAGGATGTGCGAAGGAAACGCCCGGAACTTTGGCGATCAGGTGACTGGTTCCTTCATCATGACAATGCCCCGCACACACGGCCTTACAAATGACCCACTATTTGGCCTCTCGGGGATGGCCTGTCACTCCCCACCCTCCGTATTTACCTGACCTAGCCCCGTGCAACTTTTTTCTGTTTACGAGAATGAAGAAAAATCTAAAAGGGAAGTGTTTTGATGATGTGGAGGCTATGAAAACAGCTTCACTAAGGGCATTGGACGATATCAAGATTGAAGAGTTCCAGAGATGCTTCAAACAGTAGGGAAAAAGACTTCACAAGTGCATCGCATCTAATGGAGAGTACTTTGAAGATGACTATTTATTAACTTTTTTACAAAATTTCTTCAAAGATTTTATACAAAATATCCGGTTATTTTTGGGTCCCCCACGTATATAATTTTATGCCATCCATATATACAAAATGAGATATGTATCATGCTGTTTTGTTGTTTTATCCATATTTAGTATTGTTTAACCCTTATTATTATTATTATTATGTTGGGTTTAGTGAGTTATACTTGGTTGATACCAGTGGCTGTGTACTATGCCAGGCCAGAGTCGAGGCATAGCAACCAAAACAAGACAAAAATTAAACAAGTGTGTCAGAGTGTCTGTATTCAGGAATTTTCTAACAATATGACATATATTCAATATAATGGCCATTTGTAGTGTGATGTATGTGTTTCTATTCAATTGTAAAGCTCCCAGGCTTTTGTGTAGTGTGTGGTATCACACCTGTAGAGGAGAGAACAAGTACAATAAGCACCCTTTCCATCCTCCACAGATGCCTTATTTCCTGGGCGAGTTCTGTGTACTTGCTAATTTTTTCAGTACATGTGTTTTGTATATTGTGAGTGTTTGGAATGGTTCTGTCTATAATGTATGTGATTTTATTGTGTTTGTCAATGAGTGTGATATCTGGTCTGTTGTAAATTGTTTTTATCTGTAATTATGGCTCTGTCATAGTACAGTTTGTGCGTGTTGTTTTCCAATACTATCTGTGAAATGTATTTGTAGTATGGTTTGTGGATGTCTAATAATTTGTGTTTCTTTGCAAGCTCTTGATGTATTATATTTGCTACTTGATTATGTCTGTGTAAATAATCTGTCTGGATGCCAAGAGCCTTCACCCAGAAGTAATGTGTTGTATAGTTTCTGGAATGATGTGACATTTTCTGCATGTGTCATTTGTGAATGTTGTATCTTTGAGTATGTGTTTTCTGTAGTTTTTAGTATTTATGACCTGATCCTGTACGACACTCATGAACCCTTCCATCTCTCCAAAGAGGAATCCCAAGCTAACCAGCTGTTTGACGCAGTTTTGTCAACAAAATCCTGGGCTAAATCTGCCATGAAGTGCCTTTCAAGCCCACGACTGCTTAATGGTGTCTATGCTTTTTACATGTTATGTTGTGTCCATATGATGTGAGTGTAAATTTAATGGTGTGTTATTTGAGTCTGCTACAGTTACTGCTTTATGTAACTGTGATGTTTCTTGTTTTTTGTAGAAAAACTTTTTATATTATAAGTATTTATAATTTATATATTAATTTATTGTTTTTTCAAAACTAATTTATTTAGAACAATAATGCCTATATATTAATAAACCTACCTCTTTCCGAATTTTTCTTAACTTTTTTTCTAATTGATTGACATCTACATCTTTTTTATTTCCATTCTTTTTAAATAATGTTGCTACATCTAATTCAGTAATATGAGGATGCAAATATCTATTTAATATTCCAGACATGTGATCATATACAGTATAATTAACACTTTCACCACAATCTAACTCATCTATTATATCTTCGGTATTTGGATCAGGTGTTTCCTTTTTACTTGATCTATAAAAACAAATTTTATATTCATTATAATGTTTATTAACTTGATTTTTAGGTATTTACAGTAATTTTATTGTTCATACAGTCAATTCACATTAATATGAATCACTAGGGANTCAGGTGTTTCCTTTTTACTTGATCTATAAAAACAAATTTTATATTCATTATAATGTTTATTAACTTGATTTTGAAGTATTTACAGTAATTTTATTGTTCATACAGTCAATTCACATTAATATGAATTACTAGGGGAACAGTAGTTAGTTCATTTTATCAAAAATTCATATCAACAATTTTCAGGGTCAAGGTCAAAATTGTATAATTTACAGAGTTAAGGATCAATAGGCAACCAAAATCTCTAAATTATAATATTTTGAATTAATTTACTAAATAAAGTTAAATTTAATTTATTTATGTTAATGCTTTCATACAAAATTAAAAACTGCTATGCTTCATAGTAAGTCATACCTTCCACACTATTTCCTGAAACAGGCCACATACTGTAGCCAAAAATGTTCATTTCATTAGATTTTATTAAACTGTTTTCCAAGAAATAGCGTGGAAGGTGTGACTTATTATTAGTAGGTTCCAGCTCACCNGGAGATGGCATTTGCTGTTTAAGTATGACACAGTGTTAAAAGAAATCCATGATTTCTTTCTGTTGAAGATTGTTTGAAAAAGTAGAAAATATTTTTTGGCACGAAAAGAGTAAAAAAAATTAGCCAAATTTGGCATCACTATATACCCTTCTGATATACAAACTAGCAAGTGTTTGCATGGTACTGCATCCATTTAAAGGCGTGGGTGTCCTTAAACTTTAACTCCTATTTTCTGAGTACAGTAGAATGGTGCACTAAAATGAGACATTTGAATTGGTATATAATCAGAGGTTGAACCCATTTTTGCTTACTAAAAAAATTATTCTACTCAAAATAGAATATTTATTACAGTATCACTTTGTCTTTTACATTTTTCAATGTGAATAATAATGTGAGACTAATCGGGGGTAGGATGTTACAAGTTCTTGACTCTCCTACCTCTTAATCGACTCAAGACCTTGAGGTCCAGTCTCTCTTGTCCAAAAGATGGGTTCTGTTGAGCGGAAGGGTTATAGAGTTAAGGATTGTTATTTCACATCAGGATCTGACACCAATCTATCAATTTATCGGCGGATAGATACACTTTTGTGAGAGATTGATTTAACAGGAGTGATCTCATTCATGATTTCCGGTTTGGAATGGAGGTGGTAATGTAGGAAGAAACGCACACCAATCCACTTTCATTACAATATACCTGTTTATTATAGAACGTATTTACATGGTTATAGATTATTAAGGGTTCAAGAGCACATATCTCTCCGGGTTAACATTCCATAAAGGTAATTCCATTCAGGAAAAATAGCTGACAATAGATAATAGTCACGATCCTAACCGCATTTCGAAAGTATTCAAGAGAGAGCTTACATATCATTGTGAGTAGGATAAATACCTCTAATCATACAGGATGGTTTCTTGACGATCTTTGAGTTCAGCTCCCGGGCTCGTTGAAATAGTTTGTTGATTTGACGTAAGTCCAAAAATCGTAGAATAGTTAAGATAGGAAGTCTATCAAAGATGGTGGCGACGAGAGGCAGAAAATCCACAGACACACTCACAGTACAAAATAATCCTTTTTTTCTCCCCATGTTGTCATTGAACTTGCCTTTTATGTGGGGGCTCTCTTCTCGAGATTTCCCCATGTACGTCAAAGGGTGATGATCTCCTTTGACCAATGGTGGGTTAAGTGACAAAATTATGACATAACAGTTAACTCATCTTCTACAAGGAAGTATTTTCGTGGGAACGGAGTTTTATGATCGATTTTTTATGAGAAAATTTGTTGGTTGTTTTTCTCTTTTTGAGTTAACCCTAACTTTTATAAAATCGTTTTGGTTTTGAAACAAAAACAGTAGATGAAAATGAATAAAAATATTCGAATCTCAGCATTCTTAAATCCTGGCCCTCACAATAAAATAATTATTAGAAATAGGGTTATTTCTTGGTGTTGTGAAGGTAATTTATATAGTTTGGTTTAATGAATTCTGGTAAAATTCTCGTTTGCTTTATCGTGTGAAAATTAATGTTGTGAAAATGGTGTTTTGTCAGGGCAATGGCAAATTAGCTTTATTGGTGTTCATTTTAAGGTGAGTAGACTGTATAATATTTTAAGAAGTAATACTTCAAAATCTTAATATGATATTCAATTAAAAAAAATAAATTTTATATATTATATTTAAGCAATTAAAATTAATATTTAGGAAATCATTGTGTCTGTTTAGAATATAAAATAATTAGTCAACTTATCAAAAATGCTCAATATTCATAATCTAACAATTGAATTTATACATTTACACTTTAAAAAATAGCATTAAATTTTTAGGAAAATATAGACTACTCTGTTGTAAGTTTAAAATGTTCAGCATATTATGAAAAAATAGTATATTTATAAAACAAATTAACCTTGATCTTTAAAGAAAAATATGATTTATTAAAGTATTTTATTAGATACAGAAAAATAAATGAACTATATATAATTAGAGTTGAGAAGATAATTACAGAAGTGAAAAACAATGTTTTTAAATAAATGAATTACTGAAGTTTGACAACTTCATAAGAAAAGAATATTAAACAATTTAGTCTCAATACATACAGTAAAAGTAAAAATACATAGTTTAAATTAAAATGGCTGACAGAAGTGTCAAGACATTTTAGTTTCTTCTATGTAGGCCTATTTTTAATGTAAGTACCATTAGCCATTTTAATTGAAACTATGTATTTTTAATTATTGGCTTATCACCAGAGGATGTCTTTAAACTGTGTTACATAATTTTAGTGATGTAGCCTCTAATAAAAGATCATCTCTGTAAAGGAAGACTTCCTGGTCATTGGATATGATAAAAGAATCCAAAAGTCTTCATACTTCTATGTAATTTCAATGTGAATAATACTATAGCCATTTTAAATGTTAAAAATAAATTTAAATTAATGCTCATTACTAATGAAGCTAATGTGAACTAATGTGACCATTGAGCAGTATTGTTAAAACTATTATTGGTGCATAATGCATCATGTGATCTGTTTGGTATGGTATGGTATGCTGGTAACATGCCATCAATTGTAAGAGGTATCTCTATTTCTGACAAGCAAAAATAAGTTAAAAAAAGAGCATCTTAAAATCAAGGAATCTTATAATTTAGTATATTATAAAGAGATACAATGCTGAAAAGTAATTGAGTTGTCCAGAAAGTTCATGATTATTGTTTTTACTTTTTTTTGAGTTATTAAGTAAAACAAATTGCTTACTTTGCAAAAAACTTTTATTTAAGATTATATTTTAATTCTCTCAACACCTATCCTATCAGTTATAAAATATAAAAATTACTGTAATCAAATTTGGGAAATTTAGAATCAAATATAACACCAATTGAAACCCAATGTATAGCACATAGACATCCACAACTGCTATAAATAAATTGGGCTAAAATTTGAAAATAATGATTTTGAATTACAAATTAATTTGACACTAGATGGAAGCGTTAGGCACCATCTTGTATTAAAATTAATAATTATAATATTTAATTAAATAATTTAGATTAAACTAGAAGAAAAGAATTGGCCCAAAGTGGGATTCAAACCTGCAACTTTTGCTCACCGTGCGAATGCGTTACTAGTTATGCTACCCAGACCTCCAGTCTGATCTTCTCTTCCAATATATATAAGCTTAAGATATAACCATCGTCAGTCATTATTTCCAAATTATAGCCTGATTATTTATGGCAGTTGTGGATATCTATTTAGAATCAAAGAAAAATCTAGAACTTATTTTGTTGATTAAGTTTATCATCTTTTCTGTTTTCTACAAAACTTTTGATTGAAAACAATCAATATGAGCAAAATCTGGAGAATAGAAAAGAGACTGCATTTCTTAGCTGAACTCCTTTAATTTTTTTCTGGGTTTTCACAATATATGGCTTTCTATTATTGTGATGAAAAATTAAAATTTTAGTCAATTAGAATTTTATCTATTTGATTATAGTATTTGTCAAATACCTTATTAGATGAAAATAATAATTAATGACATTTCAATTCTACAAAACATGCTGTATTAATTAAAAAATAATAATAATTCCTTTCTGAAAATCACTCATGTTATATTGTGAATATTTTCATTAGATATTTCAGATTACATTGTCATGGAATTGAAAAATTCATCAAAGACTTCACATTAGGCAAACTTGAATACAAACATAGGTTCTCTGATGAAGAAGAAACTTTTGACACCAAAATAAAACAAATTATGGACAATGCAGACAAGAAAGTAGTTGCAACTCATAATTTTATTACTAATTAGTTTCAAAAATGTCATCACATGTGCTTTGGTATCCTTCAAGATGATGTATGGATAACATTAAAAGTGCTCAGCAAGTAAACACATAAATTAAAACACCTTAATTTGTTGCTGAGAAATCTATTTTTAATAACAAACGTTTCCAACCTGATTAACAGGCCATCCTCAGGTCTAAAAAACAAAAATGGAACAGATACGTTCCATGTATAGAATATAAATATTTAAATCAAAATTTAGAATAAAAATTTTTTAAAATATACAAGAGAAACGGAAGAAAATATAAAAATAACACAAAATAAAATTAAAATATACAAGAGAATATATAAAAATAACACAAAATAAACTAAAAAATAAAAAATATAATAAATCTTCCAATAAACTAATTCTAGCTTGAGTTTTCAGTGAACTTTTTAATCATGTATTTCCACGCCGACGATAGGCTCTCAGCATCTCTCGCATTTAAACATCCCTCACGTAGCCTACTCCTATATATTTCAATCTTCTCCGCC